TATATGTATATGTATATGTATATGTATATGTATATGTGTATATGTATATGTATATGTATATGTATATGTGTATGTGTATGTGTATATGTATATGTATATGTATATGTGTATGTGTATGTGTATATGTATATGTATATGTGTATGTGTATATGTATATGTATATGTATATGTATATGTATATGTGTATGTATATATGTATATGTATATGTATATGTATATGTATATGTATATATGTATATGTATATGTATATGTATATATATATGTATATGTATGTATATATATGTATATGTATGTATGTATATATGTATGTATATATATGTATGTATATATATATGTATATATATATGTATATATATATATGTATATATGTAACATATATACATGTATACATGTATATATATATACATGTATACATGTATATATGTATATATATATATATATGTATATATTTTTTGTTTCATTAATATGTATATTGTTTTAACAATATATTTAAAACATTGAGTAGCAAAGATATCAAAATTTTATTTAAACCATTTTTATATGGTGTTGAAGGTGCTATTTTACACAAGTATTTAGTTCTAGCTTTTTGTGATGTTCTCTATTCTAAACTTGTTTTGAGCAACACATAGCAACAATCCAGAATCAAGAATTTTCACTCTATCATACTGGGCTAAATCCCACAATACCTTCTCCATTTAGACTTATCAATGTAATGTGCATTAGCAAATCTAGAAGTCATAGACTATATTGCAACAACATTATTGATAGTGACTTTAGTCACTAGAAGAGCTTTTGAGAAGTTGTAAATGGTTATTCTTCATCTACTTTAGTTTGAATTTTTTAAAATTTATTTGTTCTTCAAGGTTATATTTCAATTTTAAGTAGAGGAATTCAAATTTCATCACTAGCCTATATATTAGTATGAAGTATGGCAGGTTATAAAAGGTGAAAATCTTAAATGAAGAACATACATGCTAAACTATGTCATGACTAGGATAACCATTAGCAATAATGGAAAGCATCATCTATAAGAGCTCTCTTGACAGAGCTAGATTTATTTTAGCAAGCTCTTTGCTTAAAATACATCCACCATTAAAGGAAGCACCATCCACAAGAACAAAACATTCATTCAAGCTCACAATTAAGCTCTTTACCCTCTAATCATGTTTTAGTTTTACTAAGCCAAACCAATACTAGATATATCGAGCTTTGCAAGGCCAAATGTATACCACCAAAACCACTAAATACAAATAAAAGCTTATTGTAGCCAGAAATATTTAAATTAAAGTATGATTTTACTTTATTTCAACTATATAATAAAAACACAATATTAATACTATCTTAAGTTTATGTTATTCTTACTTTCTCATTCTCTTATAAAGAATTTTTATGATTTCTAATTTCAGTCTAATTTATTTTTAAAATTCATATTTTACTTTCTATGAGGTTATAGTTATTTTCTTTTAAGAAGAAGCTATAAAATGCAATATAGAAACTGGAAGCATGCTGCATACACTTCAAAGAATTTAGGGTTATAGGATAGCATGAAGTATTGATTTATTAATATTGGATTTGAAACTTGGCATGATTACATTTTTGCTCCAATTTTGCACTTGTTAGAGGCAGTAAGTTCCATCATCCATTTCTTGTGGATGTTTTAGCGATCAACTTTTCTTTCTTTCCAGGCGTGCAGGCTGAAAACAACAAGAAGAAGGGAAACTTGAAGGAGGGATCCTCCAGTGGATTCACAATAAGTGCTTGATCTTTCATGGCTATCCAATATAAGTAACACTTCGCCCAGTTCAATTCTGGTTGTGCCCACAGCATATGAGCAAGTCAAGAGAATGATCATAGAGAACATTTTCATCTATGGCATATGTTCCATTCCCATCCTTCTAGCTAGAGCTCTACCTTAATGCCCATCCAATATAATCAATGCAAGCAACAGCAACAACAACAACAACAACAACCAACAATTTATCACAACTCAAATCCCTCAACTAATTGCCAACACATGCATCGGCTTGTATACTCTTTGATAAACTTCTTCTTCAAGGCCACACAACACCACCAAGCACACACCAATACAGTCGACTCCAACTCCTAAAGGGATTCATATAAGTGGTTGTGTTTCCTCTTCACAATGCTCACTCTCTAGTGAATTACAAAAAATTATCTTTAGTCATTTACCTATACAACATAGGTTAACACCTAATGCACAAACACTTGCTTCACTATCAAAAATAGGCACATGCCTATTAACAATGAGAGAACAATGCTGTATGTTTCTTTTCCTTTGTATAATTTATCATTATATTGATGTAGTTATTTCTTTTTTGTAGGCGTACAACTAAAAAGACTTCTAGTTGAGGCAGAAGTATACAAAACACATATTATGACTGACATCTACAAGTGGCATGGCAAGTTGGACCTGGTGATAGTATATGTTTTGTATACTTCTACCTCAACTAGAAGTCTTTTTAGTTATAAGTAATGAGTTCTTTTGTTTAGAGCCTCTCTTCAAACCAAATTGTCATACTCCTCAATTTTGAGTGAAATATGCATGCAATATCATTATGGCAATGGTGTGGGAGATGAGAACCATTGACACTGGAAGCCCATGACAAAATGCACTATGTGAGGCATTGTGGCCTCAAAAATGTGAATAAGATCAAAGTTTATTTACCATATTTTCTAATATTCCTTTCTTTAGGCAAATTAAGTTTGTGTGTTTACTGAAGGTGCTTCATATTGGCATCCAAAGAAACTCCCATTTTGGATGACTTTATAAGAAGCTGATAGGAAAAATGTATGAATTACAAGTTGTATATATTGAGTTATTTTTAACTATACCTTTTTATAGGCCATATTTGTTGATTGGCTATTGTTCTAATGTTTTAAAGCTCAAGCAGAAGTCTCTTAATTGTGTAGCATAGCTATACTAATGATAGCTGCAGAAGCAATCTAGATCCATGCGACAAAAGACTATCACACTTGAAGTTGTTGCCCCTCGGATTTCAGATGGAGTAAACATCCTAAGAGCCACCATAAATCTCCAAATTACAAATAAAAAGAGAAAATTAATGAATGAGATACTAGAGAATCCAACAATCACTCATCTCCACTAAGTTTTAGAGATAGCTCTAGGGGACCTCAATGGCAATTACAAAGATATTATAAAGGAGTGCATGGCAATTATACTTTACCACACACTTTTCTTGGAGCCACAGTTAGTCGGGATGCTTTGCAAGTAAGTTTCCAACACTTGATGAGGATGAAAGTGCAATACTATCCTCAGAAAAGTTGAGTACTCCTCAAAACATTAACAAGTATTGGCACCACCTCCTTATTATAGGTATTCACACTGTAAGTCATGATCTAAATAGAGGATATGGTAGCAACTTGACACTTCAAAGGCCTTGAAAAACATTTACAACAGTGGTTTGTGGAGATTGTTCAACATATAGTTTCAACTGTTTACGAACCATGTTTGTTTAATCCACTTTTTGTTCACTTTACAAAATGTGATGAAGAATGACTATTTAAGTCACACCATTTTGCAATAGATTCACTAGAGTTCTGGCTTGGGGAAAAAATGTGAAAAAATAATTTATTCCAAGAACCAACTTCATTTCCAAGATCAGTAACATGTGGGCAATTAATTTTCATTCCAAAATTATATCTTAGCAAGGACTGACATAAGTAGGTTTTGGAGTCACTTATGAACCCTATCTCATATGATAGTATGTAGCTATGAGTTTTAAAGCAATATAGTGTTATCAAATAAATACAATTCTAGAAGTATAAGTTATTAAACACAAAAAATTGTATATATAAATATTTTATAAATTCCTATAAATGCTTTTAGTGGGCATCTTGTGATTGCTATCACTTACTTCCATGCCCAATAACATATTGCTAAAGTTCTTTAAAAACAATTTACTTTAGCCACTTGATTGAAAATATTGCTCTCCAAACAATTAACCTTTTGAACCTCCACAAGTTTTGCATTATTTTACTCCTCAAGTCCCTCAAATGCCTCAATATCATCCTCAATTGTGATATAGCCTTCATTTTATTTATCTTTAGTTTTGGGTATGAGCTTAAGTTAGGTTTTTTGCATATTGGGCAAATCAGTAAGTGAAACATGGGAGTAAACACTTTTAGGTTTGATCAAGAAACATCTTCATTGAGCAAGTCTTGGAGGAAACTTTTAGATCTACTAGAAAAGAAAAATGAATATATGTTGTATCCAAAATTATATGAATTAAAAAAAGTACAATTATCTTCCAATCTTAATAAATTTTTGTCCTCCTTCCTTTGCACATAGCATATAGTAAAAAAAATTGACCCATTCTTGCAAATAAAAGCAATAATTAGGTATCAAAGCATTTTGAAATCTGAAACAATTACATTAAATTCTTTGTGAAATAATGAAATTTCATGAAATTTTATGCACTGCTCATCCAATGCTATACTACATAGCTATTGACAATTGAAATCTATAATTTAAATTACTCTATTTGAGTTTTTGAACTCTTTTTGAGCTGCAACAATGCCCAAAAGTTTTTATTGATTGGAATTTAAAGAAGCACTATGGTGTTTGTATTGTTGAATTGGGGAAAAAATTCAAGGCTTATAATAAAAAAAAATTAAATGATAAATGGATATAGTTGAATGGTTATGGATAGTCATGTAATACATGGCCATGATCCCCACATAATGGCCATTTCTAGGAAATCCTTTAAGAATCCAGTAGGAATATTCTATTTTACACATGAAGAATATCCAATTCACACATTCTTCTAGGACCAATAAAGGAATGCCACGTGTCCTTTTTCAACATAGTGCATTTTTTGGTCACCAGAAGCAAATTTATGATGGATGAACAGTAGCATTGTTGAGATGCATAGCAAGTGCAAGAAGTTCATAAAGGCAAGAGGAAGAAGAGGAAAACCAAGCTCACGCCTACACTCTCTATGATGATTATTTCTAGAAATTTAGAGCAGACTTCCCAATCTTTTTACTCAAAGTAGCCTTGAATAACAACGTTCTCACCACATTTTCGCGTGGTCAGCCTGCCCAGTTTTCTCATCGACGATGCAATCTTTTGGCTTTGTCCCCCTCCAGCAAAAGGCCCGACCACAACACAGAGCTTCTGGATTACCGCACGATCTTCGTCCTCGAGGGCTTCCTTCACTCCCAGCATGTCGAATCCAGCGGTGGAGTCGAGCAGCACCGAGCAGGCACCCCGCTGGTTGCACAAGTCCAGCACCGAGTCGAGATCAACCTCGTTCACAGGTACCACTTCTACGTTCTTGCGCCGCAACACGGTTTCAATGGATTCCCCCTTGCCACCCAGCTGCTTGGTCACGTCCTCCACCAGGCTCTGCTGGTCCATCACGAGCAGCGTTGGGGCCAGCTTGGTGTCAAACACTCGAGCACTCAAAAGGCCCGCGAGCTTGGAGAGTGACGAAGAAGAGGTGACGGCCACGACACGGAGTGGCTGCTTGGCTCCTTGCTCCGCCGAGAGAAGAACAGGATCAGCGTCGAGGGAAGCTTCGGTGGTGACAACCGCATCATACTCTTCCAGCTGCTGGCTGTAGAAACTCGCGGCGACCGGAGTTGAAGGATCAGCGAGCAGGCATCCATCGATAGTCATGGCATATCTACGCGGAGAGGAACAGAAACGATCGTTTGCACAGTTTCGGGAATTGCCAGCTTTCCAAACCTGAGACAGGTGAACGGCTTCTTGGTCACCATGCGGTGGAAGAACGCTTCGTTGGTAACCCGGCAAAGCTCCTCCTCGACGCCGACGGTGACTTCCACTCCAGCTCGTCGCAGTCGCTCCACTCCTTTCCCAGCGACGAGCGGATTTGGATCCACAGTTCCGACGACTACACGCCTCACTCTTGCGGCGACGAGCGCTCTGCTGCACGGTGGTGTTCTTCCGACGTGATCGCAGGGCTCCAGGCTCACGTACGCGGTTGATCCATGGGCTTTAGATCCAGCTTCCCGCAGCGCAAACACCTAAACAACGCTCGATTGAGCGAGAAGAAGAGAGGAAAGAAATAGAGGAAGAGGAGCACCTCGGCATGAGGCTCACCAGCTCTGGGATGGAATCCTCGGCCCACAATCTCTCCCGCGTTATCGACAATGAGGCATCCTACCATGGGATTGGGTGACGTGCGCCCTAATCCGCGCCGGGCGAGCTCCACGCACTGCCTCATGTAGTCGCTGTCGTCGCGGAGGGAGCAGCAAATCTTCGTCCTGCGAGGGAATCTGGTGGATTCCCAGGTGACGATTGGCGGCATCCGGAGCATTGTCTTCCAACAGGGGGTTTTAGGGTTCTTCGCTAGCAGGAATATTACGTGTGACACGTAGAAGACACTATCCTAATTTTGCCACGTGTCGCAGTGTAGACTTGGTACATTTGGATTCATCCGATTTATCTAGACGTGGCATTATTTGATCCGTCCGATTTTTAATGGTCCCTTCTTGTATGATGGCGATTTGCTATCAGACAATGAAAAGTGGCACACACTATAGATTTTTGTACACGACTTTGGCTAGCTACATAACTCTGACCGAACCGTTGACCTCGACTGACTTGAGTGGACCTGCCAAAGATCCCATAATGTCGAGACGCAAGGGCTCCGGGACACATCGTCTCCGCCAAATGCACACCTCCTCGGGCCTCTTGAGCGAGATGGAGGGCCTTTCCACGAGATCGATTGGTTGCAAAGAAGAGGCAGTGGCGAATTGCGCTGGCATTGACGCAGTCGATTGAGGAACCATTTGGTGCGACTGTAGAGAAGAGACCTGGCAACCTATGGAGCTCATCTTCCTGTTTGATAGCGATGACGATGATCGCGTGTGCCCTTGGGAACTTGATCGCTGATCGTGACCCAAGCCAGTCGCCTTTGATCTCCTTAGCTCGCCGGACTTGGAGCTAAATCTGCTGAGATCAAGCAAGGAATCCTGGACTTGCTGGTGGTGATACGTGAGATTCGTCGATCCAGGACGCCGCGGAGGAGGCCTTGCGGTCTTGGCTTTGCACGGCTTGGGCGCCTTCACGGTCCCCATGCAAGTAACTTTGGGCGAGGTTGGCTCGCCCCGGTTGGACGACGATTCCTCCTCCGGATCATCGAATCTCCTGTTCTTCCTCGCCTTCGCAGCCGAGAAAGTGAACGATCGGATCTTGTGGGAATGGTGGTTGCCCCTTGCCGGCGACTGGTCCCCCGCGAGAATTCGATTGTCCGGGCTCATGCTGGGGCTGAGCAGCAGCCGCGACATGATGGATGGGCTCCGCGGCCACGACCACGACGATCCACTCGTAGGAGAGGGCTTGATCTTCCTACCTGTGAAGCACGAGAAGAGATTGTGGTGCTGCAGCGAGCTCCTGGATCCACGATCGTTCTTGGGCGCTGGAGAAGCAGGAGGAGGATTAAACTCTTGAGAGGAATCGGTATTACAGTCGACTACTCTGCTGGATGATCGCCCCAAAGCCGCTACCACTGCGCCCAGCACTTGATCATGATCCAGCGCTCTACTTCCCATGGCCGGATCAAAAGGAAAGATATGAACGCACTGCATAAGTAGTGCCGTATCCACCGTTAGTTGCCAATTTGACGGTGGATAAGCGCGCTAATCGTGCGCCGTCCACCAAGCCCCATCCTGCGGTGGAGAAGGAGCAAGTCTTCCTCTGTGGGCGCTTACTTGGACGAGTTGTAAGAACGATATTATCCCTCACTTGGAAAGAGTCGTTCCTAAAACGTACTCCCAGCAACAGCCTTTCACGCTCCTTAAAGAAAGAACGAAGAAATCTTACTTTTTCTTCTCGACGCATTCAATGGCCGAGTGTTGTGTCATAGCTGCAAGACACGCTCCACACGGGGTTAGAAGTAGCGAGCGTAAGAAAATGAAAACCACCGCGCGAAGAACATCAAAGTCACGGGTTGGGACGGAGGTCGTCCTCCGCTGCTCTGAATTCACAGCTATAAAACTCGTCACGAACTTTACCAGACTTTTCTCTTGTCGTCGGAGCAGTACCGAGTTTTCGGTGGTGTGCTCTCTAGCTGTCATCAAACGCCATGGCATGGAGAATGCTGGAGCCAACCTTCCGGAACTTCTTTCGGCTCACGCACCATTCCCGTGGAAAGCTGCTCATCTGCAAAGTGATTGGCTCATGTTGGATCCAGCGAGAAAACACAAAGCAAAGAAACTTACGTCGCTCAGGAGCTTAGCTCCAATCCATGCTCCGTGAGGTCCGTGAAGCGGTGGTATGATGGTCATCCCTTCCACTAGAGAGACTGGCAGATAGTAGCGAAGTTCCTTGGCTAGTCGCTCTGGTCGGTAAGAGTAGGATCAGAGGAGTACCATGGATTTCGCTGTGAGTTACCTTTTATGCCGGGAAGGCATGCCGATCCTCCTGTCAAAACTATGGTTTTGTACCATTCTTCACCAGAAGAGTCCAGGTCTGCGCAGTGCTCCATGCACAAGGCAACGGCGTGATGCAATCCCATAGCTCGCCTATCACTGCAACTTAGCACTCACGGGAGGAGATAGAATTAAAACTTACATGCCGCCAAGCCATGGTCTGAAGAGAAGTTCTCCCGTTTTAAACCGCTCGTGCTTTAGCACGAAGTTGCCATCGTCGCCAACGTCACACGAAGCACTGGTATCTTTCAGTAGCTCTGCTTCGTAGTCTTCCGCTACATAGCACAGTCTCTGCATATAACAAACGTGTTGTGCCACTTGGAACCAAAATAATTTTTGAAAATCACCTCTTTCAAAGTTCTGATTGCGTACATTGACGTAAAATTTGTTCCATTCTGATGCATGAGCTCACTTAAATATCCAGTTAAGCGGAGCGCTCCTTGGCCAATGACCTCTACACCGATGTTTCTCATCACTGTTCCATTATAAACTGCCAAGAAGTTCACAGTTTAGTCACAGTGACATACTAAAACACAAACATCACCTGGAACAACACTAGTAACATGAAAGCCGATATTTACAACTATTCCCGAAGTCCTCATCGCCGAATAAAGAGCCAAAACTGCCTGGTAAGAACAGTTTAGGATTACATCGTGCTTACAACAGCTTCACCTGGTTAACAGCGCACACCGCAGGAAATCCAAGATCAAACAGTACATTAAATGTTGTTTCCCTGTATTGCCGTCGCATTGCCAACGCTACATCCGTATCTGCGGCAGTAGCCATTAGCTAAGAAAAGATTGATCACGAAAACTCTCAAAAAGTAACAAAACCATTGCACACAACCATCATTTTGGCATATTGGAGTTGAGATGACAACCGGTTGTGCTGAAGCTTTTGTTTTCATCCTGGAAAGCAAGAAATGCTACAAAACCAAGTCCTCTTGCGGAAAAATCGTCATACCTGTTAAGAATCGTTTGATAGAGATTAGACAGCCGCGGAGCAAGAGGAGAGTCAATGTTCCCAAACTCCTGCAAAGAAAAAAAAAACACTAAAGACTTTGCCACGAGAAACCAAAAGCATTCACATACCAGAAATGTCGCCAGCTTTCCTTCGGGAGCGAATTTATTCGCGAGTCCATATTTACAATACCCGGATCCTCCTGAAGAGCGACTGCCAGTGTTTTAGACCAAGTCTATAAGAAAGAAAAGAAAGACTTACCATCGATTATAAGACACTGTTGTAAACTACGCCTGCCGCAATAGATCTTGTAGAAAGGAAGCTCCAGCTCCACTGGAATTGCTAAAAATCTGTGCACGGAATTTGCCCCATTCTATCGCTCAAGAACAGCAATCTTGCCTTTGGGAAAACTCTGGACGCAAATAGGCCTCCATAAACCGCACGAACGGCCACCAGGAGCTCGTCTCGCGCCGAAGAATCGCCTCCCAGATCGAGTCCTCAGTGGCGGAGGCGTGCCAGGATTTGCATACCAAGCTCGCCGTTGCCAGATCCTCGGGGCTAAGCTGCCGGAGCACCGCGCCAAGGAGATCATCTGGAAATTCCGCCAGGGAATGCGCCGATTCGGGCGATTCCTCTTGAGACGCCGACGACGACAAGGCCAGCGACTTGAAGAACCTCCGTAGCAGCGTCGCCATAGAAATCTAGAGAAAGAAAAAAACTCTGACATGGCAGCCCTAATAATATCCACGTCAGATAGTAGCAACGTGGCTTCGAGAACTCCAGAAAATCCCACAGCGAGAGCGTCGGGGCACGATGATGCAATGTGGCTCCGGATGGAATTAATGGCAAACCTTTGGTTTTAAAGAAAGACAGTGCTTATTTGATGCAATCTTAGTGTGTTTGAGGGATTTTCTGGAGTAAGAAAGCCCTGTAAGGAGAGAATCTTGGAGTTGCTCACGACATGTGAAAACCCAAGAGCGTAGAGGACAAGAGTGCATTTTCAGTGAGCTAGAACAACTAAGCATGATCTGGAGCTAATTTCTTTGTCAAGTAGAATCTTTGCATGGCTACAAACAGTTGTGGCAAGATCGTGTTCCCAGGCGACAGTGCAAGGGGGCTCGAACTCAAAGTCAGACCAGGGGTTCCCACTTCTAAAAACACAGGTAAACATTTCAATTCATAAGTGACTACAAGCTTAAATATTACTTACGCAGTCTTTCCTCACTTGTCATACCTCCACAAAATCCCTGCTTCTTACTGGCACCTGGAATTGGCATTGCGGTCCATGATCCAGAGCCAATATACTGCAACTACAACTACAAGGAGCCGGCATGGTGGCAGTTTGCAATCCTCGCACCCGCTTCCAGCAGAAGCTTCCCGCTGTGAATGTGGCCTACGCTGCGAAGAAGCGTCCTGACTACTCAGGTGACATTAAGCTGGAAATGAGGGGCAACCAGGAGCAGTTCAGCATTTACTGCTCTGCACACATCTTGGAGTTCACACCGTCTACACTTGGCACTCGAGCTCCCAAGTCTGGACGTCCTCAGCTTTGAGCACTGGCCATCTTGCTGGGGAGCTCATCTTTCGGGATATCTAGCAAGTTGCAGGGTTATGATATCAGCTTTGGCAGGCCCGAGCATGAGGCCTTCAGAGCGAAGTCCTGTTTGACACAACTCCTAGCAGTTGCTCCTCTGGGTACCAGGCCAGCACCGCCCGGCCACAAGAGTGCACAGTCTGAGTCTGCCATGAGCAAAAGCACTCTTTCCCCCCAACTGAAATGTTTCAGCTTCATTGAGGCTATATCCTATAATGCATTTGAAATCTTTTAATCTGCAAAGAAAATTTTGTTGCACGGGCAAGGTGATGGTGGTTGGAAACCATGCTTTGAAATCCTTCCCCGGGCTTCAAAGCTCGAAACTTTGTGCCTTTAAAACTCTGACGTGGCAGCATTAAAATGTCCACGTCAGAATTGTAGCTTTACGTGGCTCTCGATAACTGACACGCAATGACACGTCGGAGCGAGAATGCTTCTAAACTTTAAAAGACAGCGTTCCAGACAGCGCGATCGCCTTCTCCGCATTTTTCATGCACGATCTTCATTCTTTCCACGGATTTGCAAATGCCGCTACAACTCCAATCGAACGAGGCAACACAAACGTTGCCTGCTTGAGCTTGCCAGTCGCAATCTGCCAGGAGCAAAAGAAAAATTCTTCATCCAATCGATACGAGAGCAAATCGATCGAGAACAAACCCGGTGAAGTTCCACAGCAAAAGCTTCGCTCGTCGACGTGATTCACGTCCAGTCCGATGAACCACGCCCCGAGCGACACATCTTCGTTTGCAAATTGATGCAATATGGGCCTGGAAAAAATCCGAGGAAGTCAAAGATCGCTAGCTAACACCATCAGACAAGGAACTTAATGGACTTACTGGTTGATAGCGATGTAAGTCGCCAGATCCTTTGAAATCGCATACAACTGACCTGTTGCGTGGCGAAAGTATCTGTTACCGTCTTCACCAAACTTCCAGTATTCTGGCTCGTGATACTTGACGCCCCTGGAAGAACGAGGCATTTAAAATCTACCAGTTTCAGAGCGAATGTCACTTACTTCTGTGCTAGAACAGGGCCTGATTTCATGCAGCCAATGTAAGTGCGAGGCTGGGAGCGCAGAAGAGACAGAGTTGAAACGAGCATGCCTGCAAGCTTAAATGCTAGCACAACTAGAAGCAGCTTTCAGGACTGGCACTTACCGATATTCACATGGACATCGTCGTCGACTTTGACGTAGAATTCCGCATCCCATTTAGCAACAGCTGTAGAAAAGTAGATCTTCGTTTTTGCGGACAGCTCCATGTAGCCTTCAATATGGTCCTTGCGCCAGCAGACAAGGAGAAACTACGTTTCAGTACATTGAAAGAGGAAAGACATAGAAAGCGTTTCTATTACCAGCCTTAGGAAATCGCCGTGTTGGGCTTCTTCCGCGTCAATCGAACGATCTAACAGGTCGCCGGGCGTTGCACTGGAAATCCTGCTGTTAGAGCGAAGTCGCAATAGCTGTTTAAGACATGACATGCCTGTGACCGATAACAAACTTGATAACAACTCCTTTTCTTTCGAGCTTACGTGAGTTCTCGCCTGGAAAAAATGAAAATAGTCAAGCACTTGAGAATGCGTTGAGCCGAATTTACCTTGAGGCATCCATGTCTCTCGAACGGAATCGCGACGCTTACGACTGCTAAAAGCCGTGTTGATTCCGATCACAACAAAAACTTTCTGTCGAGGCTCAGCACCAAAAGCACCAGTCGGGACCCCCAGTCCAGGAGAGCCTATGGATTGCTGCGCAATGGAGCGAGCGGCTGAGAGCTCCATCTCAAGTGTTGATATTGTTTTATCCAAGTTCCTACAAACCAGATCATATCTTAGACACGCACCAACAGAACCTACAGTGCTTACCAAACTGCGTGATGAGTTTTGGACACTTGATCGAGTATATCTCTGGGTGATGTTTCGGGCTTCTGCCAAGAAAAACAAAGAAAAAAGTAGCTCGCTTGTAAGAATCAAGCTTTCAACTCACAGGCTTTGGACCACACTGTTCGTCCTTGACAATGTGAAGGAGATCCGACGTCTTTGGACGAATCACGTCTAGTTCTTCTGACGCATTCCATATCCTACATTCGTAACAGTGAGATCTTTGGATTGATCGACGTAAGTAACGACTGATAACTACTTTGGAGAATAGAAAATAGAATAAAAAATAAAAATTGAAAACCATTCTACGTGTAGGAGACACAGTCTTACCTGTTTGTGAAGAGCGTACCCACACAGAAGCTTGCCACGCACAAGAGGAGCATCCATTTCCCCGATACTCTAACTCTGCTGCCTCTCATTCTCCCAAAAAATTTCTGGTAGCCTAGCGCCGCAGAGATTGGAGCCGGAGATGCCAGCACAAATGCTTGCTCCACTCAATGCAATACAGATCTGCGAGTGCCCGAGCTCTTCCAATGCCGGAGAAAACCCTGAGCTTCATGACAAGCGCGCTGCTCAATCCCTGCGATTCAGGCAAGCGATTCACCGTGCTGTGCGCGCCGCGCAGCAGCGAAATCCAGCTGCAATACGCGAGATTTCGCGCTGATCGATCGGACGCCCTGGCGCCAGGAGGACAAACCCATCGTTGCTTCCTTTGAAAACATCAAACGCTAGAGAGCCGTCGGATTTTAAGAGAACCAACGGCTATACGTGGCGGCATATCCGCTCTCAAGAATATTCCGTCAGCTGGCCGTTAAAGAAATGGCATTTTCCGGCAATGGTGGAGAAAGACGTGCTTAGGGTTTGTCCCAGTGGCTATGGTAGGAGGCATTGCTGCGAGGAGGCGCTAGCATTCCATGGCGGTATCGGCGACGGGATCGACCAGAGACGTTTCCTACAGGTAAAGGAATTCATCCACGCGAGATCGTCGATGGGCTTTTCTTCGAGCTCTTCTTCGCGGATTTCTTGCTCCAGTCGAGCTAATTCTCTGCTTTCCAGCTGCGGGAGGTGCGCGTTCAAGCTCAATCTCAGCTCCTCCGATCGGCTCATCACGAGCATCGGTCCCAGGTACTCCAAAACTAGCAGGAAAGGGATCCTCTACTTCCTCTCGATCGATGAGAGCCGGTTTAGAATGCTGGACGAGGTCAAGTGTGGCCCGTACTTCGAATCGCCAGGGAAGTGGGGGATCCAGAGAATGCAAACGCGGCTCTTGTGCCGGCAATGCGGTGCCACCATCGGGCATCTGGAGTCGGGGATCTCGTCGTCGGTGATCGGCTGCCTGGATGTGGATCGAAGCACAGACGATGGGAAGAGATTTTGCATCAAGATCAGGGCGTTGCAGCCAGAGCAGGAGCTCGACGGTGGATTCCAAGCCAAAGATGGAGATCAGGAGAAAGCTCCCGAGGTTCTTCTAGCCGCCAAAGATGAGAAAGCTCTGGAGGAAGCCAAGGAGGGAGATGAAGAGAAAAGATTCGAGCAGCGCAGCAGTGAGAAGACGAAGCTAGATCAGGAGGGGAAAAAGGACGAGATTTGCAATCAGTAGCAGCAGCGATGGATGGATCGATTGATTGCTTCTTTCTTTTTCTTTTTGGTTTTGAGTGTATGATTCTTTCTCGAGGCTGTAGATGATAATGTGAAAAATGCCTGCCGGGTTATCTAAAGAGAAAACGAGGGCTTGGATTGGACGGTTGTGATGGCTGCCGATTCTGAGATGGAATTCCAGCCCGGGCTGCGTAAAAGCCACCAGGTCGCTCGTTCCAGCCGCCATAGCCACAAACAACACAGAGCTTTGCCTTCCAGTTGGTCGCCACTGTAAATTTAAGCATTAAGTGACCTTGGAGCTATTTCTACATTACAAGGATCTTTCCAATTTATTTTTGCCACTCGAGTGGAGGAAGAGGGGCGATGGAATTGGATGATCGCAGCTGCGCGATGGAGAAATTGGAGGAAATCGAGCTCGATGTCGAGGAAAAGGGAGAAAAGGTTGTGGCTACAAGTCTTCCCTTTTGCAAAGGATCGCAGGAAGAGATCATGGTGGACGAAGAAGTGATTCCAAAAGCTCCTCGCCGGAGGCTGTCCCGGCAGAGATCGTGGTCGTCACAGGCGATTTGCGAGGAGGCGTGGGAGCGGCGGCGCGATCAGTCGCTCCTGGACGAATTGCGCGACCTGGAGCTGGATCCCGCGGGCAAGGATCGCGCGCTGGGCCGCTCGGCGTCGGATTGCGGCCAGAAGCCACCTCCATTGGCGTCAATCTTGGAGGAATCCAGCCCCGCCACACCCAGGCTGCGAAGAACACGCACGCGCAGCCTCACGGACGACGATCTGGAGGAGCTGCGCGGCTGCATTGATCTGGGCTTCCGATTCGATTGCGAGGATCCGCGGCTGTGCGAGACGCTCCCGGCGCTGGAGATTTGCCACGCGCTCCGCCACTTCCAGGAGAATGGGAGCGAGTCCAGCGGGTCGTCCAGCCCGGTGGAGTGGAAGATCGCGAGCCCAGGTGGGTTTTAGCTAGGGTTTAGAGATGTTTTTGGCTGATTTCTCCCTGTCTTTGGCAGGGGATCATCCGCAAGTGGTGAAGACGAGGCTGCGGCATTGGGCGCAGGCTGTGGCGTGCACTGTCCGGCAATGCTGCTAGATTTCTTGTGATGGACTCCATAGATGGATCCATCGCCAGAGCTCCTTGATCGTCTCAAAGGAGACTATGAGCTCTTCCAAGTTGGAACTTCCAAGCTATAGCTAGTATAATGGAGCCAAGCTTTTGTGGTCCTCAAATTATGACACGTGTAAGGATGTGCTGCCGTGGCAAGATCCCAGGAACTCTCTCTCTCTCTCTCTCCTCTCTCTCTCTCTCTCTCGTGTGAGTTTCTTCTTTCTTTGGGTCAATCAAAAGCGATGGAGAAGCGAATCGGGCTTGTTTAATCATGAGAACCCACCACCGTCCCACTCAGGCCCAAAGATTGAATTGACAAAATTGCGATTCCAATCTCCAATAGTTTTCCTTTCGTCTCGTGTTTCATGCCCGACGCTGCGACCGAGAAAATAAAAGTGTAAACTAGGCCCCCAACTTGTCAGGAAACTAGACCAAAATCATCGCCGAAAGATCTCCCCGTCCTGTGTTGGATCGGATGAATACAAATGATCACAGCAAAGATGTGATCAAACGCATCCCAAGTCCTATCTTGACGATAGAGGTCACTCATGCGTTCTTTTTGGCTTGTTCATGACAGTGGCCTTGCTCTTGTCCATTTGATTCTAAAGCTCTCACTTTGTTTCTTTCGATCAAGCTCCCGTTATCACGGAGCTGATATTTTGTTGATCGACTGAAAACTTCCAAGAAAACTTGATTTTAAAAAATGATCTTTTATCATACCTCTCCAAGAATTTATCTCAGGAACGTGTAAAACAAGCATTTAAGGACCACCGCACTCTCTCGTCTCAGCGATAGAGGTCAGGCTTTTTTGGCTTGCTCATGACAGCGGCCTCGATCTTGTCCATTACATCCGGCGTGAGGCGGGGTAGCAATTCCAGAGCTTTCACATTCTCTATCAGCTGGAGCATATAAAAAAGTACATCTTTTTAGAAAACATCCAGAAGGAGAAGGAATTGATAGAGATAACTCACTTGGCTTTCTTTTGTAGCTCCCATTATCACGGAGCTGACGTTTGGATTCGAAGCACACCACGCAATGGCGAGCTGCGCCAGAGAAACGTCGAGCTTGGCTGCGATAGGTCGGAGCTTGTCAACTTTGAGTAGAATATCATCAACCAAGGATCGATTTGCCAAGTTCTGTCATGACGCAGAGACAATCGTCAGAAGAGATCTAGAAACCCAATACAAAAACAAGTCGGAGACCTTGTAGTTTTCCAGCGAGAAGCGGCTGTCAGGTGGAATGCTGAATTTGGTATACTTTCCAGTCAGAACTCCTGACGCCAGAGGACTCCAAGTCGTCACGCCGATCCCATAGCTACTGTACAGTGGAAGATATTCCACTTCCACCTGGAAGAAAGAAAACAAAGATGGAGAGCGTAATCAATGACCAAAATTCCAAGCAAAGAACGAAAAAGAGTGACACACCACTGTAGCTGGAATCTTTCACTTGGCAATGCTGCAAGCTAGCACGTCCGAAAGAAAACATTGGGTCTCATCACCCACCTCGAAAGAATAAAATTTCCAACCAACATGCTTGTCACCCAGAAAGAACACAAACAACAAGGAAACCATGCAATGAAAAAGAGAATGGACCAAGAACACACACCTTGTCTCTGGCGAGAAGATTATACTCTGGCTGCTCCACGCAAGGCCCAATAAGCCCCAATCTCCTGGCCACCTCCCACGCCTCGGTGATCTGCTGGGCGGTCCATTCGCTCGTCCCCCAGTAGAACGCCCACCCGTGATCGATCACATAGTTCATAGCTCGCACCGTCTCCTCCATGGGCGTGGCCGGATCGGGCCTGTGGCAATACAGGAGATCCACATACTCCATCTCCAGCCGCTTGAGCGACGCCTTGACGCCCTCGATAATGTGCTTCCTGGACAGCCCCTTATCGTTTGGCCCTGGCCCTCCCCAAAATATTTTGGTGCTGATCACCACATCGGATCTCTTCCATCCCAGCTCCCGGATCGCTTGCCCCATGATCTCCTCCGCCCTGCCGTTGGCGTAGACCTCGGCATTGTCGAAGAAATTGATCCCCGAGTCGCGGCAGCGCGAGAGCAAGATCTTGGCGTCCTTGACATCGAGCTGGTTCCCAAATGTGACCCAGGCGCCATAGCCGAGCACGCTTACCTTGAGCCCCGTCTTCCCTAGATGCCGGTATTGCATAGCGCTCGACGACATAGCCGAGACAAAAGAGACGATTAAAAGCGAGGGTTTAAGGTAAACGGTAGGTTTAATAAAACAGTGCTGTGGCACATTCCGTGCCATTCGTTTGAAAAATATCTCAACCGCTGAATTAGACTGGAGGGCTTAAGCTAAACTAAATCGTAAGGTTATGTTAGTGAGAGTACTATGTGACGCAATCCTGGCCGTTCATCTGATTAAGGGAGGGTTTAAGCTAAAGGGGCCGTTGTAAGAAGGGTTTAAGATAAACTAAAGCGTACGGTTGGGTTAATAAGAGTACGGTACCTTAACCATAATGTGACGCGATCCTGGCCGTTCATCTGGACGTCTCGAAGCTTCTCCCTGTCCGAAACCCTTGGTAGCATTCTAGGGCGGTTTTGGCGACAAAAGCTTCTTCTTCCTTGCGGCATTCTTCTTCGTCCCAGCGGTGCCGCGAGTGGAAATAGTGCATCCTAGCGCTCCTGGCCGGAATGGCAGCTACAGTGGGGAGCATTTCGTGCGCCGGCGCTTCGCTGCTGCTCAGCAGCGCGAGCGGGAAGTATTCTTCGAATCAGCAGGCTTGTTTCCGGAAGCTCAAGGTAATCCACGTCTAGGCAGTTCGTGTGCTCAATCGGGTATCGCGTTTGTGCCAGGGGGAATTCGCCGCGCTCTCTCTCTCCATCGATTCAGTGGCCGGCAGCAAATCCTCGGCTGCTAGTCGACTATCAGCCGGTGTGGCGAGAGCTGCCGTGACTGCTCCTCCAACGGTGAGTTTCTCGCGAGCTGTTTCGAAGCTTTGGATGGATTGCCTGAAATGTGCGTTTGAGCTCCTTTCTTTTAGCAGTACAAAACTTTGAAGCCTCTTGGCGACCGCGTGCTTGTCAAGATCCAAGCCTCGGAGGAGAAGTCCGATGGTGGAATCATTCTTCCCACGACCACGCAAACCAAGCCTCAGAGTGGAGAAGTAGTCGAAGTTGGCGAAGGGAAGAAAATTGGCGAGAAGAGCGTTCCATCTTGTGTGACGGTACGTGGTTTTTTCGATTCGTGTCGTGCGAAGAGCATAGTTTTTGTTTGCCTCGCAGGTCGGAAACACGATCGTTTACTCAAAGTACGCCGGCACGGAGATCCAGTTCAATGGTGCTGACCACATCCTCCTCAAGGAGGACGACGTGATTGGGCTGCTATCCACCGAGGACATCAAAGATCTCAAGCCTGTGAATGACAGGGTCCTGATCAAGGCAAGTCTGATTCTCTTTTCGGAAGAAATGACAACAGCGACTTTCCAAACAGGTTGCAGAGGCTGAGGACAAAACGGCTGGTGGAGTGCTTTTGACAGACAGCGTCAAGGAAAAACCAGTGATCGGAGAGGTAAGTTCTTGACTTCTTAGAAACTTTTAAGTTCTCCAGTTCTTAGAAACTTTAAAGTTCTAAGTGATCTATTCGATCTTTCAGGTGGTCGCCGTCGGTCCTGGATCTTATGGCGAAGATGGAACCCGGAAGCCGCTAGAAGTGTCGATCGGTGACAATGTTCTCTACTCTAAGTACGCTGGAAACGAGTTTAAGAACAAAGACAACAGCCAGTACGTAGTGATGAGAGTGTCCGACTTGCTCGCGATCTTGTCCTGATCGATCGAGAGAGCTGACTCTCCGGCCTCCTTTTTTTTGTTCTCCATCTCTCGACGAGCTAGCTAGCTCCTTCTGGCAAAAACGTGTGTAGGATTTGCGAGACCATGGCTGAAAGCTCGGGTCGTCGTCTAAAAGCAATAGAATAAGAAATGTCATACAGCTTTTGATTTGTTTGACAAAATCCTTGCGATATCTTCCAAAGTTTTTTCTAGTGTTCGATCGATCATGACAAATCTCTAGACGGTTATTTGCTCGATCCTTGTGAGCTATGGAGGTTAAATCCAGAGGCTAGAGGACTTGGAGCCGCGAAATTCGTAGTAATTCGAAGCTCGATCTATGCAATCCGGAGGAACCATCGCGATTTTTTGTTTGGTTCTCCTCTTCCTGCCGAATCACGAGTAGAATTCCATGAGCTCGTCCACATTCAGGTGCCGCAGCGATGGATCGTCCCTCCCAAGCAGCCACAGGATGTGCTCGAACAGGATCGCATCGCAATCGACACGAATCACTCGGCGGTGGGGGTGGCGATGACGTTGGTGGTGGTGATCCATGGACCATGAGCGACGGACGCTAGATCCATCCAGCGCGGCGAACAACGCGCTATCCCCCTCCTCCTCGATCTCTTCCGCCTCTCGCCACTCGCGATCGATCGCCTCGCAGCGCGTCGTCTTCTCCAGCAAGCACTGGACGACTCCGTGATCCAGGATCTGTGGCTCTACCCTAAATGCCCTCTCCTCCTCGCCCACCACGAGCGTGACGAGATTCTTGCCTCGCTTGCCCTCACCGCTCAGCCCCACGCACGATAGAATCGAGGAGCTTGCCCCATTGCCACTGCCACTGTTCTTGGCGCTCGAGCTCCGCGCGGGCGAGAAATTGGGGAGCGATGACGCGAATTTCCGCGGCGCCGGGCGGCGGCGGCGATGGTGCACCAGCAGGGGATGCCGATCCACCTCTTCCAGCTCCTCGACCCTGTCACACATCTTCCTCCTTACCCTGTTCTTCGCCATCGCCATCGCCATGGATGGAGCTCCGGAGAAGACGATGAAGAAGAAGAAGAAGAAAGCGCGTCCGTCACGAGAGAAGAGCTGGGAATAATCGATTATACATGGCGCGCGACACGCTAAGCTCCAAAACAGTCCAGCCGGCCGTCCACGTGGCCAATGCCCGGGCATCGTGGCCGTTGGATCGCCACCTCACCGCAACGGCTACTTTTTCACTTTGCCTAAAATGGTAAAAGGGAAAGTCTCACATTAAACAAAGTTAATCTTAACAAAACCTTTAGCTTTAAAGAAAACTCCCTTTTTTATAAACAATTTTTCCATTTCTTTTAAATTATTTTAAAATAATGTTTCTTAAAATAAAGTGTCTAATTTACCCAAGAAAAAATTGAAATTCTTTTTATTTAAAACGGAAAGTAAGAAAAAGATAAAAATAAAATGCCATTCTTTCCAAAAATTTGGTATGTTACCAGCCAGGCCGCGGCGGTATGGAGCTCCTAGTATGATTATTATTATTAAACCAGCTGCTTTGTTGGTGGTGTTGTGGAGGATGGGGTGGCGGCGGCCTTGCGAATCTAGCAGACCCATCTAAATTATGCGCCAGGGACGATCTCATTTCCATGCCTTGATGATGATGAGCATGATGATGATGCTGGTGGTGATGCTGGCCAAACGACACATTATTATTACTTACTCGGTTCCAAAGTTGCGGGTTTCCTCCATTGGCATTTGCATTGAAATCTCTGGCCGGTGGGACGAGATTGCTAAACCCACCGCCGCCACCACCGCCACCACCACCGCTACCACCATAGCCACCAACACCACCGCCGCCGCCGCCGCCGCCGCCGCCCTTTGCCTGGGCCTGGAACATCTCAAGAGCATTCCATGGAACTCGCCCAGTAGCGTCTCCGGCATTTGGAGCTTGCGGTGCCACTACTAAAGAACTCGTCGAACCTGGGAGGTAGAATGGCTGCTGCTGCTGCTGCTGCTCTCTTTCTCGGTACGGGAGCTCCAGACCCTGCGGCTGGAACTGTGGTGGCTGTGGAGGAGCGGAATCTCTTTGGAACTGATGAGACATTACCTGCTGTTGTTGTTGTTGTTGGATGCCGTGAAGAAGCGATGCTACGCCACCGGCCTGCACAGGTTGGAGCTGCCAAAACCAACACACCAGCGTGTAAGCCGTGCTCCAAAAGAAGAAGAAGAAATGAATGCAACTTACCGGCTTGAGGGTGCTGTCAGGCTTTACCACGCCGGACGTGAGCTCGGACACCAGAGCTGGATTCCTCAGTAGCAGTGCCAGCAGCTCGGGGTCGTGAGCCGGGGCACTTGCGGTAGCCGCCTGAGGTGGTTCTGGAGCTTGCGGGATTGTTGTACCTTCTGCCTTGTCCTGTCCATCTTCCAGTGGAACTTGGAGGGTGAGGGAGTCGTCGTAGTCCGGCTCTACGTCCCATGGATCCCTTGGATTCTCGGGGATCAGGCCTGGGTCCGAGTAGAACTCTTCCACTTCACGCTTCACACGCATGGATTGAACCTCCTTCTCCTTACTTTCTTCCCCAACGGCAACAGTCCATTGCGGATCCACGGTAAACACTAACAAGATAAGAAACCAGTTAGAGACCGAACAAAGGAAGATAAACAGCCATTACCTCGGGGTATGCTCCAAGGGATTACACGTTTCAGAAGCTCTGCAATTTGAAGCGCCGGTGGTGCGTCCAGCGGGATTGACGGTGTCAACTCCTGAGGTGGTGCCGGTTTAAAGAACTCCGCGACAGGAACCTTTGGCGGAGTTGCTGGTGTTACTTCCTGAAGCGGTTTGAAATACTCTGTCGTTGGAACCTTCAACGGAGGTGACTCTTGTACGGGCCTGAAATATTCCACCTTTTGTGGCGCAGTTGGCATAGCTAAATCTTGCAAAGCTGAATCTTGAACCGGAGCGGTCGGAGGAATCGATTCTTGCGGGCTGCCATCGGGTGCCACGGCTTGACTACCACGGTTTGAGTTCACCGCATTTGGATTAGATCCTTGAAGCAGGCGAGCCCGCATTTTAGCTTTCTGTATGTCATCTGCCGAAAGAGGCCGTGATCCTTTATCCGTTATAGAAGGCTTCCTCGCATTAGCATCTCTGATACGTCTTGTCGTTGCAGTAAGCTCCTCCACGAGAACGACTCGTCTTTTCTCTTTGCCATCTGCAAAATGACAACCAAGAACCTTAAGAGGATTAAAAAAGAAAAACTTGAAACCTACGTTCAGCAAGTTTCTTTTTTGAAGCCTGGGTGGCAAGTACGGGGTCATCGACGGTTTGTAGAGATCTCCTGCTAAAAACACTATTAATTAGAGAACTAATATTTAAAATTCTTCTTACCGCAAATTTGAGCTAGAGGATGGCCTCTCCGACATATCCAATCCTTTTAAGTTTGGCTGAGCCAACACCTTGTTTTGCTGCGCCTTCTGCGCATTCTGCGCATCCGAAACGGTGCTGGTTTCTGAATTTTGAGACAAAATTAGAACAATACACCATAGCAATGACAATGATACCTGTCTTAAGCTTCTTCTTGTCCGGACCAACAGACGGTCCACTCGAGCTGCACAAATGAGCTTGAATCGTAAAGTATCCAAACACTTTTGCATACAAGCCAGTACCTGCTTTGTCCAAGTGCGCCTGAAACACCAGCTGAGAGGGAAGGAAGACAGAGGAAGTAAGAACCAGAAGCTTGCAAATAAGATTAGCATTACCAGGCTCTGCCGCTTGCCCCGCTAATTTTCCAACTCCATTTCGTGCAAAAATCTTTGACCATTTTGCTAATAACGTGCGTGCTCTCGAAGCAACGTCTAATACGTACAATCACTGTGAAGTTATCTTTATGACAAATGGCAAGGTACCTGTTGCAAAATACAGCCGAAGCTTGGTCATTATCTGAACAAGTGGAGAGACATGGGCCGGAATAGCATGGATCATCGGCAAGTGTAGAAGAGCCTGAAGGGCCAAATCATAAAATGCGTTACAAGTAAAAGAAACATTTACTTACCTTCAATATTAACCTGACGAGACTCGTCTGTTCTTCAGAAGCTGCCTGAGTCAACCACTTGGCCAAAACACGCAAGCCACCGTTCTCTAAGAAACTGCAAAGTCAAAGAGTATGAAAATAACCAACATAATATCAAACATATTGAAACTCACAAGCGAAGTCCCGGAACAAAGTCCGCTTCCAAAATAAGTTGAAGGAGATTCGACTGGCCAGTGAATGACTTCTCTGCACGCATGTGATCTAGAAGCTTTTCGAACGCCTCTAATGAGCTCAGCGTTGTCAGAGAGCTTGTATTTGTCGGGAAAAACTGCGACTGGGTGTACTCCGCGGTACTGCTCACGTCAACCTTTCCGGTACCATCGGTTGCCATTTGTATCAGCCTCTTCACACGAGACTGTTGCCCCGTGAAGAAGTCATTGACCTACAGTAAAAGAAAACAAGATCAAATAAAACCTTATATAAGACACAAGAATAACATACGTGAGTCCGCGCAGCACCCGTGAGGGCACTAAGTTCCAGCACTTCTTTTTTGGTGACCGTGTCTTTGAGGGCAAATACATCTCGTAGCAACCTCTGGGCCTCTGGCAGCAGTGAATCTTCAGGCCTTTTAACTGCAAAACGTTTACTCTCGCTAAGTGCATTGCAAACATGAGATGTTTACCTGCTCGAGGGCCGAGCACAGAAGTACCCTGGGAAAACCATAACACACGTCAATACATAATTGTTGAAGTAAGAGAAACGATACCATTTCTAGGTAAAGGGGGTTCGCTCCAGTGAGGCTGTATTGGACTTTTAGAAGACTTTGCAGCTCGTCAACTTGACTCTCGAAGACCTTTCTCTGTGCTCCAAGCTTCTCCTGTAGCTCCTGCAAAGATGGTAATTGCATTGCTTCTTCTTCCTTCTCTACATCAGCTGGCTTCTTCGGGGGAACAGCAGCTCTCTTCTCACCGGGAATACTCGAGCGAGCGGAAGTTATGAGATCTTTTGAGCGCTTCACAGCCGTAGGAGACGAGGGATCCAGCAAAGTCACTGCCCTCACCAGAGCAGCAGACGCAGACTGCGTACCATCTACAGGACTGGACCTAGTCTCCAACTCCACTGATCCCGACGCCTCGAAGAACGCCGAATTCACCGCGCAAGAGCCCTGGGCAAGAGATGGCGAAGTGGAATCATCCGAAGCACCCGCTGCTGGAAAAAGTCCCTCCGACTGCTGGTAAGACCCGAGCGCTTCTTGGTAATCGTGGTGAGGATCCGGCGACGAGGCGTCCATACACTCGTAAGTGAATGCGCCCTCTACAGCCGATTGATTCAAGGACCTCTCCAACTCCATGGACGAATGCCCCTCCGTCGCCAAGCCCGGAATGGACTCGAGATCCCCATTGCTCGTCCCAGCCAGGCTACTGCAATCCACCGATGTCACCCCAGAGTTCTCCAGAGAATTGGCGGAGCCAAGCAAGCTCGCGGGAGCAGCCGACGAGTCCTCGAACGAGATTCCTGGCAATTCCATCGAGCAAGAAAGACCCATCCTTGCCGGAACGGAGAAAGATCGGCCCTGTCCATCCCTAACCACAGCGTCCCCGGCCCCGGAAACCCTACTGGAGCTTGCGAAGGCGCTGGAGGCCGCCGATGGCAGCAGCGATCTCACGGCAGTAGGAATGGCCGCAGCCGCGGCGGTAGCAGCGTCCCCGAGATTCGGATCACGTACCTCGTTGCTAGCGGCGTCGGCCATAGCCGGAGGGTGCCGGCGTCTCCAAGAACCCTAGCGCTGCGCCATGCACCACATTAGGGCTGATTGGTATCGGGAAAGAAAGAACAAGGGATATTTCAGCTATGGCGATGACGACGTCTCCCGGGCATGTCATAGCACGAAATGCCGACGTGGACGCACCCACGCCACGTCATTTCTTTCGGTTAGTTGTGATTTCTTCTTGGTTTTCTAGGGCAGCGCCATCGATCGATCGCGGGTCCTGGATTGGAGGAATTACAAGTTGCGATCGCGGCGTGAGAAGCTGATGGATCCGTGATGCGAATGGCTTCCGCGGTCGTCTGCCCTCCTCCGGCTTCCATCTTCGGGGCGGCGAGATTGGCAGGAGTAGCGGCAGAAGGAGCGGCAGGGGATCGAGATCAAGCTGGGAGCAAAGAATTGGTGACGATGGCTCCTCCAGGAACTTCGGGAAGAACAACGAGACGATCCAGCACTAGATCGACCACCTCTCAAAAGGCCGCCGCAGAGACCCATCGCCCGGTGACGCGATCCAGGAAGCAAGCCCGGCCCTCCAAGTCGCCCATCCGGCGATCATCACTGGCGGAGGCCCCGGCGGAGATGATTGATGTCACAGCCTGGGATCTCGTGGGGCATTTCTTCTCGTGGGGATTCGTGGCGCTGGTGGTGGTGCTGGGATTGATCAGCACGTTTTGGAACTGGCAGGAATCACAGTCGGCGGGCGGGGGATTGGTGCCATCCGCGAGGGAATTCGCGGAGATGGATTCGATGCTGCGCAAGTCCACCAAGTGGATGCAAGCCCAGCTGGATCTCATCGACATGAAGATCGGGAAGGAGATGGCGGGACTCAAGCGCGACGTGGAACACATGATCGACGCCGAGGCCTTCTCGATCGCCTCCAAGGTCCACAACCTCAAATCCCAGATGGACAGCATCGAATCATCGCTCAACTTCCTCAAGCAAGAGGGGATCCTCACTCGCCAGGAGACACTGCAGCTGATTGGAAGCGCGGCGGACGATCGCGCCACGGATGGATCGGGCAAGGCGCTCAGCCTGGACGACGTCCGCGCCGCCGCCAAGAAGATCATCGAGGACGAGCTGGAGAGGCACAGGGCGGACGGGATCGGAAGAACAGACTACGCGCTGGCCAGCGGCGGCGGGAGAGTGATCGACTACTCGGAGGGCTACTTCTCGCTCACTCCCTGGTCGGGATTGCTGGGCATTCTTCCCGGGGACTACCGCCGCCATCCCAAGGCCAACAAGATCCTGGAGCCCAGCTTTGGCGAGCCCGGGCAGTGCCTCCCGCTCAAAGGGAGCAACGTTTTCGTGGACATCCGGCTGCGCACCGCCATCTACGCGGACTCCATCACGCTCGAGCACGTCTCAAAGGTAATCCTCTCGGCTCTCGATCGTTGCCACTGCTAGCTAGCAGCACTGTCGACCGATCGATAGACCATCGCTTAGAAAGGATCGATCTCTCTCATTCCGTGCTTCTTCTGGTGGATCTAACAGAGGGTTGCCTATGACACCGGGAGCGCCCCGAGAGATTTCCAGGTGTTTGGCTGGCTGGAGGCCTCCGCGGCGCACAAGAAGGGCGAGAGGGTCTTGCTGGGATCATTCAGGTATGATATTGAGAGCTCCAGCGTCCAGACCTTTCGGCTCTACAAGACCGCGTCAAAGCTCTTGGTCAACACAGTCAGAGTCCACGTTGTGTCAAACTACGGGAGCTCTACGCATACGTGCTTGTATCGGGTCCGCGTCCACGGCACGGAGCCCCATTCTGAGGAATAATTGACCGTTGACTTTCTTCCGGGTTTGTGGTATTGGAGATCTGGATGCGCAACCATGACGGCTCAACCTCTAGCTCGCGGGAGTACATCCCGGCTTGCAATAGGTGGTCAACATGGTCCGGTGCCACACACCCTTTTGGTACCTCGGGGCCCATCCTCGTTTGTGTGGAATAATTGACTGGTTTTTAGGGCTACGGGATGGAGGGGACGGTGTTGGAACACAGAGATTTCTTCTCCCGGGGGAGCTTCGCGCTTGTCATTCTCAACAATACTCTGCCAAAGGAGGCTCCCATTTTGTGGGAGCTGGGTGAGTGGATTGATTGCGAATCTATTTGAATCGAATGGAATGTTCTTCCAGCTCGAGTGCGCGTTTGCGCGGATGGAGGAGCCAATCGAGTGTATCGCGAGATGCCCTCCCCTGCCGAAAGGTTGTGTTGTTGAGAAGGCTTGGTTGATCAAATCACTTTCTTTAGATTCGTCCCGGATCACATTGTCGGCGATTTGGATTCTATCGAGCCCAACATCCGGGAGATCTACGCCTCCAAGGTATGAGCTTAAATTCGCGTCGAGCAGAGCTGAAAGCACGCGAATTGCGCGCAGGGCAGCGAGATCCTGGACATGTCCAGTGATCAGGACTCCACGGATCTCCACAAATGCGTGAGCTTCCTAAGAGATTCCTCGCGCGGCGACGAAGTGGAGAGGATCGTCGTGCTGGGCGCGCTGGGCGGGCGATTCGATCACGAGCTTGGCAACTTGAATGTGCTGTTCGCGTTCCCGGGCTTGAGGATCTGCCTGGCCAGCGACGAGAATCTAGTGTTCCTCCTCCGCCACGGCGTCCTCCACGAGATTAGGGCGAGAGTTGGCGCGCATTGTGGTCTCGTCCCCCTGGGCGAGCGATCCCAGAGCTCCACCACTACCGGACTGCGATGGAATCTCGACTCCACGGCGATGGCGATTGGATCGCTCATCAGCACTTGCAACGTCGTGGAGAACGAAGTGGTGAAAGTCCAGTCGGACGTGGACTTACTGTGGACTATGGAGCGCTAAAAGAAAAAAGAGATAAGTAGATTCGGACAATATTCTAAACAGACGTGTCACGCCAGCTGGCAGGCGAGGTATATTCTGGCGGCGGCCCATTCCGTATTTCGCGCGCCAGAACTCGGGTGTCGTACGGACGGGCTCTCGTATTATATGAGCTTTCCCTTCCATCTCGGTTGCTTGCCACTACAGCCAGGAAGAAACCCTAGTGGGAGGAGTCTTTCTTGTTGGGGAGAGGGGTTGCCGCCTAGGGCTGGGCGGCGCTATGGCGGCTTGGGGATTGTGACGCGCACGCGCGTGGAGCAGCAGCAGTGACGCGCATCGGCCGCGTCGTCGTCGTCCCCGAGCGATCGCGCGGCTTGGATTTCCGAGGTAAGGCTGGAAATCGGAGATCTTGGCGAGGAAATCCGGTGGTCGGCGCCCGCGCTCTCGGTGTTGATGATAGTCGGCTTGGCTGCTCCAGATGCGCAGATTAGTTAGGTCGCAGATCTAGCTCATTCTTTTGGTGGGAATTGGCTGGAGCTGGTCCGTCAAATGTATAGAGCTAGGATCGTGACGCAGCGGAATTCTTGAATTTCTAGATCAGGAAATGGCAGCAGCGGGGCAAGAATTGCTGGAGCTCAAATTCCGGCTCAGCGATGGCTCCGACATCGGGCCTTACAAGTATGCTCCCGCCACGACCATCGCCACGTTGAAGGAGAGTATCATCGCACAGTGGCCACAAGGTACTTAAATTTTTTCTCTCTCTCTCCCCCTTACATTTTCCTGGGTGACATGGTTTTTCTTGCATATCTTTGCGTGATTGTCTCCTTGCGTCCTTGTTTTTCCTTTAACTTCTTCTTCTAGGAGCTCTCTTTGATCATCGGATTCATTGCATATTCAGAGAAAGAGAATGGTCCAAAGTCGGTGAATGACATGAAATTGATCAATGCTGGCAAGGTGCTTGAGAACAACAAGACATTGTCAGAATCAAGAGTCCCCGTTGGAGAGCTTCCCGGTGGAGTGATAACAATGCACGTCGTGGTTCGACCCCCGTCCACTGACAAAGGAGGTGGTAAAGTATTTCCTTCGATCAAACGCTTTCTCTGGCGAGATCCCACTAACGCCTAGTTCGTCTCTCTTTTTTTGTTGTGGTCTTCGCAGAGAAGCATCCATCCGACTCTTCCAAGCACAACAAGTGTTCTTGTTCGATACTGTAACATTGCGGCCAGGCCATCGCCATCGCCATCTACGATCGCCATCGCCATTGTCGTCGACGCACACGCTACGGAGGAAAATAATATGCATGCATGGTTCTTAATCTCTTCTTCCCTCTTCTCTCTTCTCTTTCTCTTTTCGCTCTATACAAAGGTTTTTACTTGGTCATGCTGCTGTTAGTTATGATCACCCGGTGATCAAAACTCGATCGGCTCGAGCTTTGATCCAAATCCAGCAGCAAGTTTTGAAACTTTCGGAAAAAACTTTGGTGGAACTTTGGGCTTGCCGACCTGAAAGATTGCACAAATCTTTACAATAAGTAAAATGTGATTGATAATGCCGGCTGTTGACTGGACTCGAACGTCGGCTCTGGTAGGTCGGGCTAGGGGCTGCCACGTGGACGGCTGGGATGCCATCGAGCCCCGGAAATGCTCGCCTGACATTGACCCCCACACGTACCAATGTTGTACGATCGCCGAATTTGAACGCGCGGGAAAGCGCGACCGCGCGGTGGCACCGCGCGGTCTACATGGTTTTCCTCCTGACTGCTCGCACAATGGGTCACTTCCACCGTCGGATGGGCTGCGACGGACGGCTGGGATTGGCTTTCGCTTGACAGGAAAGATTAAAGGATTTATATGGTCATTTACTTGGAGGAGGCGGAGGAGGAGAAGCCACATTTTAGCTATTCATTCTAGACAGGGAAGAAGAAGGCGTAGCGGCGGCGACGCGCTTAGGGGAGGGAGATTTTGAGAGGTTTTCGTTTCGATCGGCGCCGCGCGGTAATGTAAATCGAGTGGGAAGCTTGGAGCGCTCCCGGATTATGCAGGCCTCGGGCTCCAATCTCTCGGTTGTGCCCCAGCAGCTCAAGCCGGCGTGGCTGGAATCTCTGCTGAGCGAGAAATTCTTCACAGCGTGCGCCAGGCACGCGGCGCTCAAGAAGAACGAGCGAAATATCTTCTGCGTCGATTGCACGGGGAGCATTTGCCAGCACTGCCTCTCCAGCCACAGGAATCACAAGCTCTTGCAGGTACGATCGGCCATGGGGAGGAAGAAATTCCTTGATCGCTTGGTTTTTATTTGTTTCGTTGCTTCTCTCTTTTCTTCGGTTTCTCGGCTAGAGGATTTCTAATTCCGGGGGAATGGTGTTTCTATTCCAGGTTCGCAGATACGTCTATCACGATGTAATCCGGCTGCATGACATCCAGAAGCTCGTCGATTGCTCGCATGTACAGGTAAGATTTGTGCAAATTCGAGTGAAAAATCTTTGTAGATTCATGGCTTTCTCTTCTCCTTTGGTAGACTTACATAATCAACAGCGCTAGAGTAGTTTTCTTGAACCAAAGGCCACAGCCGCGACCACCGAAAGGCCTTGGCAATGTCTGCGAGACGTGCGATCGAAGCTTGCAAGAGTCATACCGCTACTGCTCAGTTGGATGCAAGGTACTCCGCTCATTGATCGAATTAAGTTCTTGTGAGGCTCACTCTCTTTCGATCAATCAGGTTGATGCTGCCTGCAAACAAGGGAACGATCTCGCGAGCCTCCTCCCCCGCTGCAACTCACTGCAGCTCTCGGATTTCCCAGTCTCTCCAGCCGGAAGCTCCAAGGACGACGACAAGCCCGACGACGAGGAGCTATCTCCAAATTCCATCCTCGAGGACCAGGACTCTGATACATCCTCGGGCTCCACAGCCAACGATGGCAGCTCCTACGCAGTGACCTCCACCGCGACGACATCATCCACGCCGCCACCAGCAGCGGCTAAAGCCGCGCCCGCCCGGAAGAAAGTTCGAAGCTCGCGGGGGATCAAGCAAGTTGTAGCCGCGGCTGCCACGGCAGTTTTCTCATCGGGAGGAGGTCGACGGAAGAGCACGCCTCACAGGTCCCCGTTAAGCTGAAACGGGCAAGATTACACGACGTAACTTATCGAGATTAGAGCGGTCGCTGGTTCTTTTTTCTTTCTTTCTTTTTTCCTTGGCAATGGTTTTCCTTTCCTCTTTTCTCGCTGTTGGTCGGTTCTCTAACTGATAAGTTTCTGTAGCGGGGACGAGTCCTCGAGAGCTCTTTGGACAAGTGGACTACGATTCTGGAGGTATCGTTCTCTCTCGTTTCTCGTTTCTAAGCAGTATACTAATACTCTTATAGTTTGGTCTTTTCTTTCCTGTAGTTTCTTTAATCCGTGATGATGCAAACCTTGGGGTGAGACACATAGTGCCTGGTGCTGTCAAGATATCGCTGGTGCGTGCCTGGATGCTCGCTCGCTCGCTCGCTCGCTCTCTCACTCTCACCACTGACTGCGAGGAACTTTCAACTGGCCATTTGCTTATAATTCGCGGTGGTAAAGGAAGATTTGGAGTGGAGAGCTCTCAGATTTTTCTCACAGACACTCACACCTTCCTGCAAATCTTTTGCTGCTGCTACCACTGCTACTGCCGCTGCCCGCTGCTGCTGCTGCTAAAATCACTGCTCCAATGTTTTTTTTTCTTTTATACATTTTACTTATTCTATTTGACAGCGAGAGTGTTATCGTGTTTTTGTCAAAGGCTGAGGACAACAGTACGGAAGCAGGCTTGAGGATCAGATCTTTGATAGCAGCATGTTGGAGGTGGTGCTTCTGGTGTGGGGCACCGGAACGGCTTGAAGCTAATTAAGTGGGCGACTAAGCCGGGGTTAATTAAGGTGGCGAAAGCTTGCTGGCCACCGCCTTAGATTGATGTGATACGCCCAGGTCTTGAGATTGGCTTGTTCCTGCCGTGGTGGTTATCTGTGCTTTGACAAAGATATTCTTCTCGACCGTAATTCTTTATGTTCTTTCTTTATGTTCTTTTTGTTTTCTGGAGTTCCACGTTGAGTGATTTGAGGGTGTCGCCATTTATGAGAGTTTACTCTGTGGTTTAATGACCGGCGGGAAAATGGCGGTGCCTCTAGGGGTACCCGAAGAGGGTAAACGTTCATCTCCAGGTACAATTCCTTTGCCTTGATGTTGTTACGATGTAGCTTAGAATTTTACGTTTACTAAACCAAATTATGATGTTAATCCCATGTTTGAACTATGAATAATTACTATTGATGTAGATTGTTGTGTATTTTGAATGTTTACTGTGCCTATGTAAATCTTGTAGCCTACAGTGTCCACTATCCTATCACTGCACTATTGTTGAAAAGTTTGCCATGTCCAGAGTTTGAGTTGCTCAATACATCTTGCATGTATTCATTCATTCATTCATCTCACCACATAGGAGGTTTAGGTAAACTGTTCTAATAATACCTTCTATTGCCAAGCTTTTGTTTGCTGCTTCTACTATGTGATCACATACTAATTATAGAAGATTATTAGCATCTTAGTTTTTATATTCTAATAGATAGAATATTAAATATTTCAATCTATTTTTTCAAGCCACATCTAATAGTTCTGTTAAATTTTTATTTAGGTCTAATATAAAGGCCCAAATCTAAGCTTAATACTAATACTAAATATTATTATATATTGTTTAACAATTATTTATATTAAGTATATTAAATATCAATCATAAAAATTACATTATAAAATATAAATTGTGAGTGCATGGAATATGGAAAGGGGAATATAGAAAATGTGCATATCAATTAGCCAAAAAGCCCTAGCTTATATATAGGAGCAAGTGATCTAGATTGAAACCAATCTAACAACTACTAAAATCCCATTACATTAATATTAGTATACAGCATTATACTTATACATTTGGACTTCATATCATCCCCTCCTTTTGGAATAATAGAAGACCATTAGAGTTCTCTCTTAGATGGGACAGGATCTAGAGGAACATCAAGAGAAGGTATAAATGGATTTGTAAGTGGTATCAATTGTTCTTGATTTTTTTGTACGAAGTGTTTTAATTATTACACATGCACAATTTCTAGAGGATCGGCTTGTTGGACATCATGTTGAACCTCATAAACTTGTGGTCCAACTTGCTGTAACACTCGATATAGTTCTTTCCATTGAACAAGGAGCCCCTTAAATAAACCACATACCGTAAGATGGGGAAAACAAATTAACACCAAGTCATTCATTTTATACTCCGTAGGTAGACGATAATAGGAGTTGTAGTGCCATTGTTGTCCCACTTATACGTGGTCTAAGTGTTCAGTAGACTCTACTCGAACAAGTGGAAGAATGCTCATCAAATATTAATCCCACAATTTAGCATCAACAGCTCGTGGCAATTGCGAAGGTAAACCCAACTCTATTGGTAATATTGGATTATGACCATATAAAAATTTATATGGTGAAGCATTAACAAAACTCTGCACCCCTGTGACATATACATACCAAAAAGATGACAAATGATTGTGGATAACAGCTCCATAAATCAGTTAGTCTTGTGTGTGAATTCCCCCTTTTTTGGTGGAGTTTGGTACACCTTTGTCTGACTATTGAAGTCTCCCACTAGGAAGAGAGTTGCATGGGTATTCCATGCCTGAATCTTTGTTGCAAATGTTTCATATAGGTGTTTTTGTTGTTGTGTCTAGTATAGCTAGGGCTGTGATAGACCATAAGTGGTTTTTGGAGTTTGGATTTGCATTGTGAGAAAGTGATTGTCCTTATCTTGGTATTGGCATGTGATGGCCATCTTGAGCTTGTCACACACATACATTATGATGCTTCTATCCCCCTGTCTTGTGCAAGTTATCTTCCAGTGCCAGGTATTGTGGATTGTCCATCTTGGATACTTTGCAATGCAATATTGCTGGTGTTCTTAGGTTTTCACTAGGGCAACTATATCACTTTGCTTTTAATCTTGCAATTGTGGGGGAACCCTTTAATATTCCAATACAATTCGGATATTCCTTTCTACAATGTAGACTAGTGACTATAGTGTAATTGATTTGAATTCTGGTGGATATCTGGTGCTTGTTTGTGCTTGGGTTGTAACATTATCCTTGCTCTCTCACTGCTTGTCCCATTTTAGGGGTAGATGCTTTCTCAAATTTAGAAAAAGGGAGCTTTTAAATTCAGAAAAATCACCAGAAGTGATCTTCTTATACTAGTTATGCAAACTTTAGACACTTGGTACTCTTCTCGAGGTCTGATCTTGGCTACCCTACACTCCATCCTCTACCATCCTTTCAAAGCTTGCCCTAGATAGAGGGGGCTTTCACCTTAATATGACATAATAGAAATAACTATAAATATTTTGGAAACACTAAATTATATATTTTATAAATATAGATAAAAATCCATCAATGTTAAAATTATGATTTTGTGAGGTCCAAGTATATGGCTACAATGCCGTATACTAATATTAGTGTAGTGGGATTATGTAGCCATTAGATTTGTTCAATTCGGACCACTCGCTCCTGTATATA